TTTTTACCCGTAAAGTGTGGTCTAGGAAGGGTAAAGTGTATGAAGACCTTACCTTTACCTTGGAGGTAGTGTTGATTGATTGATTGATTTGAATGAATGGCTGATTATGCTTATTTACACTGCATTAAGGTGTCAATTACTTTTATTCCATGAATTGCGTGGCTATATTGTTTAAGAAAATCTTTAACACTCATTTGAGTATTATTAACTTAACTTGCTTTCGTGTAAAAACTAGAAATTTGGATGTTCCCCTATTCCAAGCCTGGGTGGGAAGAGTTGCAGTTGTGTTGATGGAAGGTAGCAGGTACTTGTGGAATATATAGAAAAGAAATCAGAAATTTGGAAGGAAAAAACTTAGGAGCTGTTTGGTAGGGTGTATTATATAGGGTGTATAAGAATATCTTTCTACTAAATGTTAGTACGATGTTTGGTTGTAAATTTTAGTTTGGTATGCATTATATATATACACCCTATTTAGTACTATTCTTACACAGTAAACACAGTAAACCATGACATAAACAATACGCAGTACTATTCCTATTTTAATATACCATGTTCAGTTAATACAACAAACTAAACAATCGATAAAAAATAATACCAGCATAACTAACCTCAAAATAACTAATCTCAACATTAATACATCCTGTTTAGTGCTATTCTTATACACCCTCCCAAACGACCCCTTTATTTCTAACTGGTTATCTTTGACTCTTCCCAGATTACTTTTTTTTGAGAAAAGGGTAACTTTGTATTCATAGAAAAAATTCATCATCCAAGAAATGATGAATTGGAAACTTACATCCCATAGTGTGATGGGCCCATCCCATACAGTTTATCAGATTACAAGTTTCATAAGAACTCTGCTACTTCTACCCCCCCCCCCCCCCCCCCCGGGAAATCTTGTTTACACCAAAAAAATAGAAGACTAATACAGTTTGTTTTAATCCTCTGACAAGTAATTTTCTGTCCTTCAAAGCACCTAGTGTTTCTTTCCTTCCATATGGACCACTAGATACATGATGGGATGAGCTTCCACCATTCTTCCTTTTTACCTCTGCTTCCAACTCCTAGCCAACTGTTCAGAAGCTCCAATGTAGTCTTTGGCATCACCCAACTAACCCCCAAAATGCATAAAAACCTATTCCACAAACTGGTAACTATTTGGCAGTGTATGAATAGATGGTTGTTCACTTCAGCTTCCTGTTCACACATAAAGCACCTTGAGCAGATTTGCATGCCTCTTTTCTGTAGGACCTCGTGAGTGAGACATGCCTTCTTGATTAGTAGCCAAACAAAACATGAAACTTTCAATGGACATTTCACCTTCCAAAGCAGTTTCCAGGGCCATCTTTCAGTTCGTGAGACATTATGGTTCATCGTCCAGTAGCATGATTTCACTGTATAGACCCCTTTGTTGTGTATCTTCCATACTGGCTTATCAGAACTCTCAGAAGTACCTGGGAAATTATTAAGGACCCCTAATAACATAGCAACCTCCTCGATTTCCCAATCATTAAATGCTCTCCTAAACAGCAGATTCCAGCCATTTTGACTCCATACTTGTGCCACAGTGTCATTGTTTTGTAGACTCAATGTATATAGGTGAGGAAATAGGTTTCTCAAACTGTCCTCCCCTATCCATATTTTCATTCCAGAACTGTGTCTTCATTCCATCCCCAACACTGATGCATATGTTGTTTCTAAAATGTGGCCATATTCTGCTAATGGTCTTCCAGACACTGCATCCAAATGTGCCCATAACCTCTTCAGTTGTCCATTGGTTAAGTAAACCATACTTTCCTGCTATAAATCTCCTCCATAAGGCTCTATCTTCAGTACAGAATCTCCATAGCCATTTTTGGAGCAAACAACTGTTCTGAAGACTTAGGTTTTTAAGTCCTAAGCCTCCTTGGTTTCTGCTGAGTGTGAGAGTATCCCATTTTACCAAGTTGTAGCCTCTCTTTTCCTTGTTGCCTTGCCAAAGAAAGGATCTCCTTAGCCTATTTATTTTCTTCTCAATGTTCTTGGGAATTGGAAATAGGCTCATCATATAAGTAGGCAATCCATCCAGTACTGACTTGATGAGGGTTACCCTGCCACCTAGTGACAAATACTGGCTTTTCCATCTGGCTAGTTTCTTCTCACATCTCTCCAACACCACATTCCACACTTCCAGCTCTTTGTTCTTGGCACCCAAAGGTAGTCCCAGATACTTTGTTGGTAATGCATCTACTTGGCAACCCAATGTCTTAGCTAGCTCAAGAAGATTGTCAACTTGGTTGATAGGGAAGATATGACTCTTCAACCAGTTGGCATGGAGGCCTGAAATGCCCTCAAAAATAGTGAGTATAGCCCTTATGTGTCTTATTTGACTCTTCCCAGATTACTTATTGTTCTATGTTGTATTTAGTCTAGTAATTGTTCTGCATTTTGTTTTTTTCTACTTGTAACCCATGGAAATAATAGTCTCTGAAGGCACTTCTGTTATCCTTTATTAGAATTTTGTCACCACTCATTTCCTATATCATTTTGCTTGACCTATTGGAATCAGTCTAGCTTGTTGGAGCAGTAAATGCTGATGTACAATGAACTAAATACTAGCACTTAGTTTGTTCCAATTTTATTATATGGTTAGAAAAGTTAAAAAATAAAATAGGAAGGAGCCTCAGAAACAGAAAATAGATTGGAAGATAGAACGAAAACATACCAACAAGTGATCCCAAATTGGGAATACTGAGGTTGTTCGACTTTGTGCTAATGCTTTACGAGTTGCCAGTGAGAAAAATATTAGTTGTACATATTAGATTTTAGTCTATTGTCTCATTACAGTTTTCTAAGATCAGAGAGAGAGCCCCTGTAATTGTCATGTTGGATCGAGGTATATTATCTTTTCTCGAGATTTAGATACTGTTTTTTTTCCATCAATGCTAAACTAAGATATTCTGGTCTATCTTAACAAAATGCTGCAAAAGATTATGACAATTGCTGGCTTGGTTTCTCAGTCATCAATGGTATACTTTGGTAATGCCTGTTTTAATTATCTGGCCTTAGTTGAGGTTGTTTCCAAGTTGTGATCTGCTTCTTATTCTTGGAAAGTCAACTTGGAAGTGGGTGTGTCCATTTGATTATGTGGATTTGGTGATAGGGGATCGTTATTCGCAATAGTGATTTACATGTGGCCTTTTTTTCTTCATGATACGCCAATAACCTGGGACTTACCTACTTTTTGAGCTTTTTGAATTTTACTTTCTATTGCCAGGCCATACAATGTTTCTTTTGACTATACACATTTCATTCTGGCCTATAAAACTCAATATCATATGCAATTTTGTTGATTCTGATGCGTAGTTGATGAAAAAATTACTAGTGGACCTTTTTTTTTCTTCGTCTTATCTTTTATTTCCATCCCTTACTGCTATTATGAAAATGGGTTGCTCACTAAAATTTTCTGGAAAGTGGCCTTCCCCGCATGTATCAATGACAAGGAGGAAAATGATGAGAGAACTTTGTATTTGACTTGTTTTCTGGTTGCAGGACGGGAATGAAGTCTTCTTCAGGATCAAAAGAAGCACTCAGCTGAAGAAATTGATGAATGCTTATTGTGACCGACAGTCTGTGGATTTCAATTCAATTGCCTTCTTGTTTGATGGTCGTCGTCTTAGAGCAGAACAGACTCCAGATGAGGTCCCTCTCTCTCTCTCTCTCTCTCTCTCTAAATGCACACACACGAAAAGAATACCAAAAGAGGGTTGTGCATCTGTTGATGTTGTCCTTAACAATTGTGATTAATTTATTTTTTCTTACAAATTTCCTCCTTTTTGCAGCTGGAGATGGAAGATGGTGATGAAATTGATGCAATGTTGCATCAAACCGGAGGCACAACTCTTTGAGTCTCCTTCTCTTTTGTTTCTGTGGATGTAAGACTTTGTGTTTCAAGATGGTATTGGACTTAGTGAAATGCTGGTTGGCAGCTTTAGGACCGTTAGAGTGTAATGAATGAGATTATGTTTGCTTACTTTATATTGAACTTAATCGCTAATATAACTTGACATGAAAGTCATTACTTGCTTCACCTTTCAATTTTCTGAAGATGACATGAATGCAGAGTCTCGGTTTCTTGTAAATAACCCTTCCCAACCCTCAGAAAAGATCAGAAGCTTGGTGACGAAAAAAATTCATGTGCAGCCAGCTTGCACCTCGTATGTGATCACAGTTTGGTCCCCATTACCTCTAGTTTAACATCTGTGTATGGTTTCTGTCTTACTGGTAGTTTTTTTTTTGGAACTAACCCCCAATGTTTTAGTCAAGTGATAAAAGTGCAACATGTGATGCATTGGTTAAGTGCAGGTTGTGTGAGTTCGAATCTTGGTGCTAACAAAAAGCCCGGTATTTAAGGGGTAGAAGAGTAGATGTATGGACCAGTTGTCACAGAGTATCGAATCATTGTATTGCCTGTCCATGGGAGACGAAGGACGGTGATCTTCCATGCCAGCATGACGCCACTCTAATGTCACACCAAAGAGAAGCATGGGCAGCTGAGTAATATTTTTAGCTACATGGGCAAAGGCAAATCATTTGGACAATTGTTTGTACCATGTGGGAAGTTTGTGCATAGTTTCCCTTGATTTTTAGTGCAGTCAAAGAAAGGACTCAACTTTGAAAGATAAACATGCTGCCAAATTAATTGATGGTGGTCAAAAATAATTGCTAAAGAAAAGGACATTAAAGTTGGGTCAATCTTTCAAAGTTTAACCAGTGACCACGACTTTCCATTGTTTCACTACTAAAGGAAATATTATCCCATGATGTCCAGCCAGCTTTCAATACTTGCGTTCATTCTAGTAACAGCATTCCCACTTTTATTATCACTTCTGGTACTGGTAGGGCCACTTCCAACGTGGTACTCATACCAATTTAAACTGATCACATCTGAATTAAACCCTCAAATTCATACGCGTTTCCATTTCATTATATCCATGCATCTTTGATACACAAAAAAAATGTGCTCTCTCTCTCTCTCTCGCAGTACCTTCCTTTACATTCTACTTGTGCTTCTTCTTTTTTCACTTCCATTCACAATTACATCATCAGCAACAACTGAAGCTGAAGCTCTTGTCAAATGGAAGATGAACTTGTCTTCTGCTTCTTTCTTGGATTCATGGTCCATTTTGAATCTCGAAAACTTGTGCAATTGGACATCTATTGTCTGCAATGCTGGTGGAACAATTTCCGAGATCAATCTTTCTGATGCAGGCCTCTCAGGCACTCTTGATCAGCTTGACTTCACTTCATTTCTGAGTCTCACAAGTTTTTGTCTCAATGGCAACAACTTCAGAGGATCGATACCATCAAATATTGGCAATGCTTCTATGCTCACTTTCTTGGACCTGAGCAACAATATCTTGGAGGGTGTCATACCAGAAGAGATTGGGAAGTTAACACAACTTGAATATCTCAGCTTTTATCACAACGAAATCATTGGTGTTATTCCCTACCAAATAAGCAATCTTCAGAAGGTATGGCACTTGGATCTTGGATCAAATTTTTTAGAGACTCCTGATTGGTCCAAATTGAGGAATATGCCTATGTTGACATATTTGAGCTTTGGTTTCAATCAACTTAGATTAGAGTTCCCTGAGTTTGTGCTCCATTGCCATAATCTGACTTACCTCGATTTGTCGATAAACCATTTGAATGGTTCAATCCCAGAAACACTATTCACCAACTTGGATAAGCTTGAACAACTCAATCTTTCATCTAATTCATTTCAAGGTTCATTGTCACCAAATTTTACCAAGTTGACCAAGTTAAAAGAACTTCAGCTTGGTTCCAACATGTTTTCGGGCTTAATTCCTGTTGAAATTTCTCTGATCAGCAGTCTTGAAGTTGTTGTACTTTTCAATAATTCACTTCAAGGAAAGATTCCATCTTCTATAGGTAGACTTAGAAATCTTCAACAACTTGATCTTCGAAAGAATGGTTTGAATTCAACCATTCCTTCTGAGCTAGGCCTTTGTACTAACCTCATTGTCTTGGCTCTAGCAGAGAATGCCCTGCAAGGATCATTGCCTATATCCTTGTCCGCGCTGACCAAGATATCTGACTTGAGCTTGTCTGATAATTTTCTTTCTGGTGAGGTTCAATCATATCTCATTACCAATTGGACTGAGCTGGCATCTTTGCAGCTTCAATACAATTCATTTTCAGGGAAAATTCCACCTGAAATCAGCCAGTTGAAAAACCTCGTATATCTTTACCTCAATCGTAACAATTTCACTGGTTCCATTCCCTATCAGATTGGTAAGTTGCAAAACTTGCTGGAGCTAGATGTGTCTGACAACCGGCTTTCAGGCACAATACCTCCAACCATTGGAAACCTGACCAATATAAGGGCATTGTATCTTTTTCGGAACAACATCAGTGGAACCATTCCTTCTGAGATTGGCAAATTGACATCTCTTCAAACCCTTGACCTCAACACTAACCGGTTTAGTGGTGAGCTGCCCGACAGCATTTCTAACCTCGGCAGTCTGAAGCTTCTTGAGTTCCTTTCTCTTAGTAACAACCAGTTTTCAGGTGTGATCCCTTTGTCTATTTGCAATTCGACATCACTACAAACTCTAGTTTTCACAAGAAACAATTTCAGGGGAGAGATTCCACAATGTTTGGGTAATATCAGTGGCCTCTCCATTTTGGATATGCGCTACAACAATCTTTCTGGGATTCTTCCAACAAGTTTTGATATTGGATGTTCACTTAGAACCTTCAACTTTCATGGAAATGAACTACAAGGGAAAATCCCTCGATCTTTAGCCAATTGTAAAGAGCTGCAAATTCTTGATTTAGGAGACAATCACCTCAATGATACATTCCCCATGTGGTTGGGAACTCTATCAATGTTGCAGGTTTTAAGTTTGAGATTGAATAAATTGCATGGACCCATTAGAACTTCAAGGATTGGAAACATGTTTCCTGGTCTTCGAATATTAGATCTCTCTCGCAATGCCTTCACAGGAAACTTGCCGACAAGTCTATTTCAACATTTGAAAGCCATGAAGACAACTAATCAAACAACGAAGGCACCAATTGAAGGAAGCAACTATTACCAAGACTCGGTAGTTGTTGTAATGAAGGGACACATCTTTGAAGTTGTGAGAATCTTGTATTTATACACGAGTATGGATCTTTCAAGTAACAAATTTGAAGGACTTATTCCAAGTATTATGGGAGATCTCATTGCACTTCGGGTGTTGAATTTGTCTAACAATGGGTTGCAAGGTCATATACCGCCATCACTTGGAAATTTAGCGGTAGTAGAATCATTTGACCTTTCATTCAACCACCTTTCTGGAGAGATACCGGAACAACTTGCTTCTATAACAAGTCTTGCAGTGTTAAATCTCTCCTACAATCATCTTGAAGGATGCATTCCTCAAGGACCTCAATTTGCTACATTTCAGAACAATTCATATGAAGGTAATGATGGATTACATGGATTTCCAGTTTCAAAAGGTTGTGGTAATGATCAGGTATCAGAGACAAATTATACCATATCTGCACTAGACGAACAAGAAAGCAATTCGGATTTTCTGAATGATTTTTGGAAAGCTGCCCTTATGGGCTATGGAAGTGGACTATGTATTGGATTATCCATAATATATTTCATGATCTCAACTTGAACTCCAAAATGGCTAGCAAGAATCATGGAAGAGTTGGAACACAATTATTATGCAAAGTAGAAAGAAGCAACGAGGTAAAAGGCATTACAGAATAAGAAAATAATTGCTTCTAGACAAGTTACCAACTGAGTATTCAAGTTAAGGTCTATGCTGATTTTTAGTATATAGTAATATATATATATAGTTTCGTTACAACAACAGCTAATCGATACTTTATACTTAGTATATTTTTCTTTCCAATAATTTCAGTATGTAGATTATATTGAAAAGAACTAGTCTTAGTTGATGACTTAAGCTATAAAGATATAACTATAACATGTATGGAGGAGGAATCATGTACATAAAACTAGATATATTTTGGTGAAAAAGGTGGTTCTTCATCAGAGATAAGTTTTTGATACTATTACAGATAACTATGTTCTGCATAGCTATTCTAATTTTACGGCGTACTGGGGATTAACAAGTGTTCATCTGGATTTTATTCCGATGTGTATATGTTGAAGAAATATCACTGAGGATAAGTCCCACATGCTACAGTAGGATAAGGTGAAGCTTTATCAGAATCTTACATTCGAGAAGGAGTCTGTGCCTATTTTAGACAGACAAGTCTAGAAGTTGAGGTCAGAAGAGGAGGCTTCGGTGAAAGTGCAATGCATTTGGTTGAGGAGGCTACTTGGGAGACTGAGTAGGACATGCGGAACAGACTGTGTTAGATACAATTCTAAACTTATTCGAGGATGAACATTTGTTTAGGTAGGAAAAAAATAGCACCCTTTTCCCTATTTGAGACTTTCTGTAGGTTCGTATGTTGCTAAAATTGAAGAAATAAGAAGAACTGAGTCGGAAGAACTGTCTTTTATTGAACTTCAAACTGTTAAGAAGTAAATACAGGAGCATTACAACTGAAATTGAAAATGGAATGGCTAAATAACAGTCAACATGACTAGAAAAGTAGTAACATAAGAAGTAAATGAAGGAAGGTGATATCTTACAAGGCTAGAGGATATGGACCTCAACAGAACTTGCATACTCGTCTTGAATGTCCTGTTGAATTTGCTTGGTGGAATTCTCAACAGATTTTGAACACCTCCTTATATCAATAAGAGCAAGTGTAGTTATATCTGCAAAATCTTGAGGAATTGAATCGAAAGCAAAGCAACGTTCAAGAAACAGTCTTTCAAGGCATGGAAAGTGATCACAACTAGCTCTCCAGTACTGAATGTCTGAATAACTCAGTATCAACAACTTCAAACAAGGAAAACCTTCATCAACTACTTCCAATTCTTCTCCTTTGCAGGCATTATGTACAAGTTTGAGGGCCTCGAGTTTGGGTAACTTACTAAGAATGCTCAAATCCTTCCACTGCAAAGTAGTACCGGAAAAAGCTAAATTCTTAAGGTTTTGTGGAAAAGCATATGGAGGAAGTAGGATCAGATCTGGAACAACATTTTCAGGAAGCGAATTCTCCATCAGTTCCATCATTTTCGTCTGAAAATAACACCTGAAGGTGTAATGCATTCAAGAAAATAAGCAACATATCGACTAGCAGAATCATTCAGACAAATTTCCAGTTTCTCGAGCTGATCTAAGCAGCAGAAAATCACAGAACAACAAACTATCAAAGTCTTTTCCCACGCCACGTATTTGAAACTTCTTTAAATTGGGAAACAGACTAAAGACAGACCTTGTACAATACCTTGGATTCCATCTAGCAAGACTTTGTAAATTTTTCAGAACCCATCTTTTCTATTTAGGCTTGTGATACATTCTCTCAGAAGATGTTTTTTGGAGTATTTGGAGGGAAAGGAACAGAAGATGTTTTGAAGGTCTATCAACTCCTTTACATTCTCTCAAAGCGGAATGCCTTATGTGTCTGTACAGTTGGGTCAATTTGTCCTATGTAGATTCCCTGGATAGCTTTTTAAATTTTGTTGGTTCCTTAGTTTTAGCATAATTGTACTAGAGCCAGCAGACCAACTGTTATTGCTTCTACTTTTGTAACTAATTTGCATCTTCTTGATGCCTTCAATGGAACATTTACTTCATCAAAAAAATATAGGCTTGTGATACCGCAAGTAGTACCATCCCAAATAGAGGCGCCTTCATCGCGGCATTGCCAGAATTCCTGATGGTAATATCAAAGGATGTTCCCCATCTATGGAAAATGGAAGGTTAAGTATAAAAGTCTGCAGATAACGTAGGCCAGATATTGATGAAGGAACATCTATTAATGAGGGAATCTCTTGTCGTTGATGGTGCTGCAAGGCAGAGGGACTCTCTCGTCGTAGATGGTGCTTCAAGTAAGGAGAAAGAGTCAAAGCTAGGTATCTCAAGTGAATTAAATCAAGTATCTCACTGGGAAATGCAGAACATCTCATTAAAGCAAGATCTAGTACCCTTACAAGCTTGAAGCTCAAAAAATTCTGGCATGAGCTCTCGTTGTCCACGAAACAGGAAAATAGAATGAGCATCACTGTTACCACATCTAGTCAATTTTTCTGCGATTATATTGTAAAACAGGGTTAAATTGGATGCTGATCCGACCTCGACTCTTGGAGGAAAAATGCATGGGTTCTTGTTCACATGGATTTTGATCATTGTTTCTTTTAATAACATTCACAAAATTCATGTTTTGAGCTTCTCTCAAGCAGAGTTCACGCGTCACACCATGCATTCCACAACTCTTGATTTTTCCATCAAAGCTCAAGTTGTGTATGGATATTGAACTTATCAATAAGTGCTTTTAGACAATTTTCTGTTACTTCTTCAACACTTTTTGGTCTCTTCTACCTTCAAGAAGCCTTCTACAACTCATAACTCCATAAGTTTATCGACAAAAATCACTTCATCCTCCGGGAAGATTGCAAAATACAGAAAGCACGGTTTTAGGTGACGAGGCAAGTGATGGTAACTCAAAGCTAGCACTGTCATGCATTGGACTTCAAGATCAGTGCTTACTGCTAAACTTACATTCTCAACAACACTTCTCCAAACGTTCAATGTTTTACCACTTTTCGAGACAACTCCAGCAGTTGCAACAATTGCTAGAGTTAATCCTCCGCATTTTAATGCAATTAGCTTCCCAAGTTGTTCAAATTCTGGGGGAAATGAATCTCACAACAAAGACCTTTTCATACAGTGAACTCCAACTTTCATCAAAATTCATGAGGCACATTTGAAAAGGAGGAATACCTGAGCTAGCATATTCAGCTACTTCCACATTCCGAGTAGTCATGAGTATTCGGCTTCCATTATTACAGTCTGGGAAACATAGTTTTATATCATCCCAAGCTTTTCTAGTCCATATGTCATCAATGACTACCAAGAATCTCCCCATGCCTTTTAGAAGCTTTTGCAATCGATATGCTAGTTGCCTATCCTCTTGACACTTATCATCAGATTCATCAGTCTTTACACTAATACAAGAAAGAAGGGTTAAGAGTACATTTCTCACACAATGCTCTTGTGAAACAGTAGCTTTTGCACGAACGTCAAAGTGAGACATAATGAATGAATCATTGTAAATTTTGTTAGCCAAAGTTGTTTTACCGATGCCACCCATACCTACAATTGAGACAACTTCTAGTCCACTTGCTCCTCTGGCAAGTTGATCCTGCATCATCTCGAAATCATTTTTATGGCCAACCATCGGCTCCACAACATGTTGAGCTGTACTACTGGCGAAAGCCAAGTTATTTTCTTATGCATCTTTGCTTTTGGTGTACATTTTCTGCATTTCCATCCACTTGTTCACCCTGGAATCAACGCGCCCTACTAGTTTCAAGAGAAAATGAAGTTTCCAAAAAGTTATTAATTCTTGAAATTGGATTTTCAACATTTCTTGATTCCAAATCCACAATATCTTTTTTTTTTTTGATGACAAGGGAAACCCACAGCCGCTACCCTTTGGGTGCGCACGGGGTAAAACCCCCGCTCCTATGCAATAGCTCGCAAACCACATAGGAGAGGTAACCCGCACTAGGCAAGCCCAGTGCGACGAGCTCGACCCAGAAGCAAACCCCTTGCTAGCGACTAGCAAGGGGTTTCGAACTTGAGACCTCCAACATGGAAGTCCCAAGCCCAAACCACTGGGATTCAAGCTCTACAACTTCTGTGCTGCATACAAGCTCTACGACTTCAGCTTCCAATCTTTTCAATGCTTCAAGATCACCTGTTATATTGCAAGGTTTCTCATAATAGCTCTCAGGGATTCAAGCTTCTTATAGAACAATTGAAAATTATATCGAGGAACTTCCATCGATTGTTATATGGTTCTCATAAGACAAGTAATAGCAACATAAGCCATTTGTCCTTCTTCTCAATCAAAAGAGTCTCTCTCTGAACTCAAAAGGCTAATTTCACAGTATACGTAAAAGAACTTATCAAGAAGACTGGTTGCTAATTGTTCCAACTAACATACTTTTCAATAATTCATGATATAAAATTGAGTGTCCACTAAGATAAACAAATAGGACATAACTTTTTTTTAATCAATTTTATCTTAAACATACCTTTTTGCTCTAAAACCTCATCCTATTAGAGAGTAACAAGTAACAAACACTTTTATTTAGTTAATTATGTCGTAAGCACACATCTCCACCCGCGACTCATCTAAAACTCACCCTACTAGAGAAAGCACACTTAGTAATGCTTTGTCATAAGCCAAGAGCGTGTACGACCATCTCAAAGCTTAAACTATTAGAGAGAACACAATTTGATTTGGTTAATTATGTCGAGACGATCCAAAAGTAGAATCACTCTGATACTCCGTATGTTTATTTTTACTTGTCTACTATTTCAAATATAAATTTTCATTTTTGCTTGTCACTTTTAATTATGTCCACGAGACAATTATTATTTTTCCATGTTTTACCCTTAACATTAATTACTTATGACCTAATACTAAACATTAATTAATAGGGGTAGTATGGTTAAATAGTCATATCAATAGATGTGTCTAAGATTTTACTAGCATCTCTTATGCATACTGCTACAACAACCTACACAGTGTAATTACACAAGTAGGGTCTAGGAAGGATAGTGTGTACACAGACTTACCCCCCTACCGTGGGAGGTAGAGAAGTTATTTCCAATAGACCCTCGGCTCAAGAAATTAATAGGAGTGAAGAAACCTAGGCAAAATACTAACAAGGCATGAGAAAGCATTATGAAAAAAGAAAAAAAGGAACAGTAACTAGAATAAAATAATACGATGATCGAAATACAAGGAACAATAAATAGTAACATGTATGGAAGAAACAAGAAAGTACAAGAGTAATACTACAACTACTAGTATGGAAGGATAAGCGAGACAACATTCAACTCTATACTACTAACATTCTGCATATAGCTACTTTCATAATATACTAGAGAGATCTTTCTTGTTTTCTTTGAGGAACAAAATGCCAGATGTACTAAGATTATAATTTATAAGTGACTTAAGACACAAGTCCCTCAACCTTTGCTAATAGAATAGAACTAAGAGCCCCGGAGGCCAGAGTAGTTTGCAGACGCGCACATGGTACAAAATACTCTTTACTTCCTTTTTAGAACTATACTTGCAACAACATGAGAATCCATTATCCATCCTGCTCCCGTTCAGAAATGGGGTGTCCTTAATTTTACATGCATCATCATCTCTGTATACTTGTTATTTTTATAATACTAGAGAGATCTTTCTTGCTTTCTTTGAGGAACAAAACGCCACAGGTCCACAGCAATGTCAACCTCCTTTTTCTTGTGAAATTTGTACAGTTTTGGCACATCATACCGAAGCTACAATTGAGAGAGAGATAAAGGCACAAAACATTCATAAGGTAACATTGAATTTCACTGAACATCAATAGCATGTAAAATGCTGAATCTGATTGTTTCGATGTGTACCTCACATATAACTTCAGCACTTCTTGCATTATAATCTCGCAAGGCTGCTCTTTTCACATGCTGTTAAGACCATACACAAATGCCAAATCACGACCTAGATCAGAGCACTCTTGTGCGCAGAAACATGGAATGAACTTCATAAATTGTATGCAGCTTTACTCGTGTAACAAAAGAAAATTTAGAACATCAAACAAGGCAACACGTTTAGTGCGAAGAGATCTAGGGGAATCATAACAGCTATAAACAAGAACCAAATACTTGCTTTAGTAATGTAACTAATCATGTTAAAATAAATGACTTAATATTGGGACACAAAGGTGTAGCCTAGTGGTCATTGGTTAATGATGTGGAATGAAAACCATACAGACCAGGGCTTGAACTCCAAACGCTATGAGAACTGTTCTCATCTGTCCAAATCATAGTGCACGGAGTCACTCAATACATGTACTAGTCGCTAGTCGCAAAGCTGACACAAGCACCAATGTTTTGAAAAAGGATCTAAATTTGGGATGAAATAGCATTGTCTCAATGAAGCTTTCCTTTCCCCCGAAGTATAATGTTTCAGCCTCCATTCACTAACAGACCAACCTCTTTAACTTTCTACTTTGAAAACCATAGACTTTGTTCAATTCCATCTTCTTCAACGCGGTTCCATTAATTACGGAAACACCAACAACAATTATTTCAAAGGCAATGGATACTTGCTTGAGGATGTTTCATTTAATAAGGCTCCTTCTTCCCTTCCCTTCCCTTCCCATCCACCCTCGCCCCAACCAACAACAACTAAGTAAACCAAAAGTATACTACTTTTTTTAGTTATAAATGGTAAATCTAAGCTTCTTTATTAGTTTAGTGCTAGAAAGAGTAAATTCAACATTCAGAATAGGAGTTGAACATTCAGATAACTGTATTGATAAAAGGCAACTTAATTTACGTCAGCATGATTTATGAGTACCACAAACTCAAGAAAGTTCATATTTAAGCTATTTACAGTGGATGCTACACATATTTTTTTTTCACCAATCAATCCCTTTGTTGTTGGAAGACAGTATGGAAAAACTTACTTCTCTAGTTGTGGTTTTATGTAAGGAATAAACTGCTTGAGAAGCAACCTGATACATTGATAAAACCACACATTAATCTAGGAATAGATGGGGCCAAAGTTCCAATGCAAACAACAAAACAGGATATTGAGCAAATAATATAAATCTTGGATACCAATTTTATGGAGAGCACCACTGTACCTTCATTGCCGAAGAGAGGAAGTCCATGTCAGCACCTTTCCTCCGTGTTCCAAAAGGTGGATTCATAACCACAGTTTCAACAATCTGACCTACACATAGTGGAATATCAATGAGCCGAGAGGGAGAGAGATGTTTTCTTTCGGGGCTGAAAAGTGAGGTGAAAAAGATACCTCTCCATTTTAAGTTGCTGATGTCGCATTGAATAAAATCCATGTCTAGCTGCAGATGAAATAGTTCAAGAAATGTATGAAACACAAATTAGCACAAGTGTGATTATACATGGAAGGCTACATATATCCATCAAAACCAATGTTAAAAAAGACTCAGCCTTGAACGCTTTCTCAACCTTGCAACTGAAGAAGGAAAACCAAAAATAAATAAATTAGTGTTATCACATAAATGAATAATACCTCAAGCTCATCGGCATTTGCATATGCAATCTCAAGAGACTCGGCATCAATATCAAGCCCAATAACACTTCTGTTCAAAAGAAAGACTACGTCAAGAACAAGCATATATAGGGAACCATAGCAATCTGAAGGGAGCTACGTATGCCAAAGGGTGGTTAGTCGAATACCCTTCACCAGAACAGTATATATAGCCTATAGGTCAATGTTAATTTTATACATATATACTAAATCCTAAACACCCTTAGTGAAATTCTTGACTTCAACAATGTTGGGGTGCACAACAAAACACACCTCATGTAATCCCACAAGTGAGGTTTGGGGATGATAGAATGTATGCAAACCTTACCCTAACTCGTAGAGATAGAGAGATTGTTTCCAATAGACCCTTGGCTCAAGTAACGTATCTCAAAGCAGTTTGAAAAAGAGAATACAAAAATGAAAGCAGTAACAATCATCGAAATAAAGAGCTAGGAGAAGCACAATACGATAACTGAACCAATGAAAACAACATATAATACTAAAATCAAAGAACATACGATAGTAAGAGAGTAATAACAGCAATACTAATAAGGGGACTTGACAACACTCAACTACCTACTAACATTGATAACCTCTCCTACTAAATTACAAATAATAATGCTGGGATGCACAAAGATCATACATATACCAACTTCACACAACACTAAAGTTCAACAAAAGAAACAAAATTTAGAGAGAGCTAAAACATACTCAGCTCCCAAAAGACCAGCTGCAAGGCCTAATGTACCACAACCACATCCAAAATCTGCAACCACCTTACTGTTCACATCCTCAAATGAATTCTCAGCCTAAAAAGATTAAAAAAAATTTCACAAAAAAACCCAAAAAGTTAAAAATAAAGATACCCTTTTAACCTTTAAACTAAACTTAAAAAGAAAAACACAAAAAAGAGGGTATCGGCATAAGAACAAGAAGAAGAAAAAAGTGGGAATATAGAGAATTTACATACAGTGTAAAGCATACGAGAAGCAATGTGGGCTCCAGTAGGATATTGTTCTAGTTCAATCTGTTATAGCAAAAAAGATCATTTTTTTACCAAAATTAGTAATCAAGAATCATAAAAATTGGGAAAAAAAAAGTGCATAAAGATGTATATTTTGTTTAAAGATAAAGAAAAAGGAAACCTTTGGGGTTGAGAATTGTTCAAGAGAACCAAGATAACTTTCTAATTGCTTCAGCTTCATCTTCACCTTTGATGACTGCTAAAGCTTCTACTGTGTGTCTGTGAAAAAGAGAGACTTTTTGTGATGTTTTTTTTTTTTTTTTTTTTGGACTTGAAAATCCCTAAGCCCAATTTGAATTGAAACAAACCAGCCCAATACGTTTGTAGAAGGGTAGATGGGGTCATTTGCACTTTTAGCCCTATTTTTGTGTTGGTTTTTTGGGAGCACAAGTTCATATTTTTGTATTATAATATTTTACAAGTTATGTTTATGCGTGATTGTTTCCTTAAAAAAATTATGCCTTCTTTGGCATAGGTTTGATTGCTTAAAAAGATTGTCTTGATTCAGAATACGAGGATCAAACTAAATAATGTTTGGTGTGAATTTGGATATAAGATTGAATTAAAGTATACATAGTTAGAAATTACAAAAAAGTACTATAAATCAATATAGTTAACAATTTAAAATATTTAGAAAGTGTTTGAAAAAACTACAATAAAAAAATATCCTTCCAATCGTTCAAATAGTAACTAAACTAGTCTTTTTGGGATAAAGGGAGTAAATATCATCTCATCAAAGAATTTTTTTTGGATGTAATGACTTCTACACAATTGATTGAATTAGATAGATATCCTTTCAGCATAGGTCAGCGAAAGGACCCCGGAGACTCACCAAAGTGTGAAAGTTAAGATTCTTAGAAAACGAATATCTCTGCAAAGAGTGCATAATCGAATGGATGAGTTACCTTAATAAAGGAATAAAGTTTAGTACTTTTTTTTTGGAATTTAAAATTAAAAAAAAGTAATGGGGTGAGAGAGGCTCGAACTCTCGACCTCAGGATAACTCTAATTGCTATGAGACCTACGCGCTAGCCAACTGCGCCACCACCCCTTTCTGTCAATTCATTAAGAAATATTTAAATAACATTATAATTTATTCTTTAAAAAAAATAAAATATAAAAATAAAAATTGTCTAATTATCAACTATGTACATCAAAAGTGTTGTGGAGAGGTAAGGATTTCCCTGTCTTTTACTAGACTTTGGGTTCGAGTTTTGAGAATGAAATGAACATTGGTAGGAAAGTTTTACTCGTAAAGTGAGATTTATCGATATGAATAGGAATCAAGAAGTTCAAAATGGATATAATGAAATATTGATATGAATATGAATCAAGAATTTATTGTATGAGAAAGACTCTTTTCCTCTGGAATTAGAATAACTTGGGAAGCAAATTGCATTAAAATGATGGTGATGACGATCAAATTTTGCACAGTTGTCTTCATTCCCTCAACATTTCTGGCTAAACAGATATTTGAACATAAATTTTCAAAATCTATAACCAAATGTTATATGAGAGAAGTAGACCTGTAATCTGTATAAACAAGTAAGGAAATGAAAACTTCTCATATAGTGATTGTAAACAACTGCTTGCTGTGTATTGATTGAACAGAACTAACTTCTCATATAAGCTTTGAAGTACAAAAAAATGAGAATATTAATGTATGCCTTCTCATTTTGTTGATAACTTCTTCACTGCCTCTCTCAACAGAACTTCCATAGTTGTCTTCAATTTCCTGCTGAATCTTCTTGGCGGAGTTCCCAACAGATTTTGCACAGTCACTTATATGAATCAGCTGAAGTGTGGTTATGTCTACAAAATCCTGTGGGATCGAATACATGCTCCAACAACGGTTAATGACTAGTCGTTCAAGTCGTGGAAAATGATCACTACTAGCTCTCCAGTTATGTAAGTACAAATGCTTCAATTGCAAGAACTTCAAGTGTGGAAATCCTTCCTCACCTACTTCCCAATCAGTACCAATGCAGGCATCATATCCTAGTTTGAGGGCCTCGAGTTTAGGCAACTTACCAAGAATCTCCAAATCCTTCCAATGCAAACGAGTACCTGTAAAAGCTAACTTCTTAAGGTTCTTCGGAAAAGCACCTAGAGGAGGAAGAACAAAAGATGTATCATATATTGCTCTTCCAATCATCTTTCTAATCTTAAATTTCAATTCTGTAAGCTGATCTAAGCAGCAAAGATCATCGAAGACCTTGTCCTTTCTTATGTAGTCTTCTTGGATACCACATATTTGCAACTTCTTTACATTGGGAAGTAGTCTAAAGATCGAAGAAGTACATGATAAAGGATTCAATCCAGACAGACATTGCAAATTTCTCAGAAGCCAGCTTCTCCCCATAGACTCATTTAAGTAATTCCAGTCTAAAGAAAGGTGTCTCAATTGAGACATTTTGAAAATTCTCGATTGTAATATGAAAGGTCTTGTATACTTCCATGCAAGAGATGTTGGAAACTTCAGTATTAAAGTTTGCAAATACTGAAGTCTAGTTATTGATGGTGGAATGCAAATATCCCAATCATTAGAAGATGAGTAAACACTCAAAGCTAGATATCGCAAGTGAAATAGTTCAACTATGCAACTAGGAAAAATATGCAACGCCAACGAAGCAAGATCTAGTACTCTTAGTACCTTGAAATGCTTCAAGTGTTGCATCACTGTTGAGCTTGAAGGATCTTCAGTAAAAAGGAGAACAGAATAGGAATCATTATTACGAACCATAGACAGCTGATGGTGGAATGCAAATATCCCAATCATTAGAAGATGAGTAAACACTCAAAGCTAGATATCGCAAGTGAAATAGTTCAACTATGCAACTAGGAAAAATATGCAACGCCAACGAAGCAAGATCTAGTACTCTTAGTACCTTGAAATGCTTCAAGTGTTGCATCACTGTTGAGCTTGAGGGATCTTCAGTAAAAAGGAGAACAGAATAGGAATCATTATTACGAACCATAGACAGCTGATGGTGGAATGCAAATATCCCAATCATTAGAAGATGAGTAAACACTCAAAGCTAGATATTGCAAGTGAAATAGTTCAACTATGCAACTAGGAAAAATATGCAACGCCAACGAAGCAAGATCTAGTACTCTTAGTACCTTGAAATGCTTCAAGTGTTGCATCACTGTTGAGCTTGAGGGATCTTCAGTAAAAAGGAGAACAGAATAGGAATCATTATTACGAACCATAGACAGCTGACTGGCAGCAAGTTTGGATTGCTTTGATCGGATACTTATCCAAACTCCCCTTGTGGAAAAATTCCTGGATTGTTCACATGGAGTTTCATTATCCATCATTACATTCACAAAATTTGTGTTACGAGCTTCTCTCAAGCAGAGTTCACGGATCACATCATGCATTCTGCAAGCTTTTATTTTTCCATCAAAACTACTCACACTGTGGACAAAAATTAAATTTCTATCTATAAGATCTTTAACACATTTTTCTGCCACTTCTTCTATACTTTTCATCATTTCTACCTTCAAAAACCCCTCTGCTGCCCATAACTTCACAAGTTTATTTACAAAAATCACTGTATCTTCCGGGAACATTGCAAAATATAGAAAGCACGCTCTTAGGTGATTTGGTAAGTGATGGTAACTCAATGCCAAAACTCTCATGCATTGACCATTATGATCTGTGCTTACCACTGAACTTACATTCTCGGCAACACTTGTCCATTCATCGAATGCTTCACCAATTTTGGAAAGAAGTCCAGCAATAACAACAATTGCTAGAGGTAATCCCCCGCATTTAAGAGCAATTTGCTTCCCAAGTTGTTCAAATTCAGGGGAGAAACAGTTTTTTACAAAGACTTCTCTCTGCAGTAACTTCCAACTTTCATCAAAATTCAAGAGTCGCATTTGATTAGGAGGCTTACCTGAGCTAGCATATTCAGCTACTTCCATATTCCGAGTGGTCAGCAGTATTCTGCTTCCACAGTTACAATCTGGGAAACATAGCTTGATATCATCCCAAGCTCATTCAGTCCATATGTCATCAATGACTACCAAATACCTCCTCCCTTTTAAACTTTTTTGTAATCGGTCAGCTAGTTGCCCATCATCTTGGTGCTCATCGGTCTTCCCACTAGTCGAAGAAAGAAGACTTAGGAGTACTTTTTTCGCGCAATACTCTTGTGAAACAGTAGCTTTTGCACGAATGTCAAAGCGTGACATTATGAATGGATCATTATAAATTTTGTCAGCCAGAGTTGTCTTACCAATGCCCCCCATACATACAATTGAGACAACTTCAAGTTCACTTGCTCCTCTAGCAAGTTGATCCTGCATGATCATCTCGAGTTCATTTTCATGTCCAACCATCATATCCTGAGGCTCCACAACATGTTGAGATATCGATGTAGTACTAGCAAGATGTGCTTCTTCATCTTTGCTTTTGGTGTACATGTTGTGCATTTCCATCCACTCATTGAGCATGGAATCAACGCGTCCTACTGCTTGTTTCAAGAGAGAATGAAGTTTCCAAAAAGCTATTATTTTTGAAATTGGATTTTTAACATTTCTTGATTCCAAGTCCAAAATATCTTCTGTAGTGCATACAAGTTCTATGATTTCAGCTTCCAAGCTTTTCAATGCATCAAGATCGCCCGTGTGTTTCTCCAGATTAGCTCACAAAGATTCAAACTTTTCATAGAATGATTGCAAATTACATCCAGTAAGTTGAATAGATTGTTGTATGGTTCTCATAAGACAAGTAATAGCAGCATAAGCCATGTATCTCTTATGTGTATGTATGTATATGTGTGATACAATTGAAACTTGTACAATGTCCTATAAGGCTATAATACATAATTTGATAGTTGTCCAATTTCCAAAAGTCCATATTTCTCAAATAAAAAACACAGAAACAACAAGATCCCCTCTTTTTTTTTCTTTTTTTTTTTAACTTTTATCAAATGGACAGGTTGTTAAGAGTGCCGATTAACCTAACTTTGCTGGTTTCTCTAATAAACAAATAGAAAGATTAAAAAAAGACCTTTGGTCTTTGTCTTTCTATTTGTTTATTAGAGAAGCCAGCAAAGTTAGGCTAGTGGATACTGTTAGCTAGGGGTGGAGGTATATATCGAATTATTATATCATATCGAATATTTTGATACCGTGATTTTGGTATTAGGTATGATATATGGTATACATTTTTTTTTA